AGAGGATTAGAATCCAGCCCTTTCGTCTCCCTCCGCCCCCCACTCGCCGCCCCGGCGTTTTCCCCCTCCTACTCCGCCCCCAAACGAGGGGGCGTGAGGCGTTTTATTGGCTGCCGCTATTAGTGCGCCGTCGAACAAAAGCGGCTCCTTTAATCCCGAGTCTTTAGTGATTTCTTCTCCCTTCGCCCCCCGAGTCCCTCCCTCCCCCGCCTCTTTTTTCGCTCCTCGCCTTTCCGAAGGTAGCCTTTCCCTCGAGCTGCCGCTTGCCGGCCGCTGATTGGGCCCGCCGGCTGGGGAGAGTGAACGCCCCGCTCGCAGCCCTCGTCAGCTTGCGCGCCGTCCGAAGCAGGCTCGCCTTCCAAGCGCCGGCTTTCGGCTTCCACTTTGCCTCCTCCGCTTGCCTCCTCGGGGCCGCCTTTCGCGCCCCGCCGTCGCGGCACCCGAGCGCCTGCAACTTCGACGGGGGTGTGAGGGAGGGAAATCCCCAGCGAGAGCCTCGGGAGAGCGAGCCATCCCGGGCGAGGCCCGGAGACTCCCTTGCTTGCCCGCCTCCGTCTTGGGCTCGCCGTCCCTCGGGGCACCTCGGAGGGGACTGGATTGCTGGGAGACCTGGTATGATCAGCTGAGAGGGAGGCGGCGGCGGCGGCCTTGGCTGGAAGGCAGGCGGGGAAGCGGAGCCGGCGAGCGTACGGCGGACCAGCGAGCGGCGGCTGCTCCTGGAGGGGCCAGACGGTCCGCGCAGCACCATGTCCAAGCCTTCGGATCACATCAAGCGCCCCATGAACGCCTTCATGGTTTGGTCCCGGGGACAGCGTCGGAAGATGGCCCAGGAGAACCCTAAAATGCACAATTCGGAGATTAGTAAGCGCCTCGGGGCCGAGTGGAAGCTGTTGTCCGAGGCCGAGAAACGCCCTTACATAGACGAAGCCAAGAGGCTGCGCGCCCAGCACATGAAGGAGCATCCCGACTACAAGTACCGGCCCCGCCGCAAGCCTAAGAACTTGCTCAAGAAGGACAGGTATGTCTTCCCTTTGCCTTACCTCGGGGATACCGACCCCCTCAAGGCGGCAGGGCTCCCCGTGGCAGCCACAGACTCTCTGCTCAGCTCCCCGGAGAAGGCGAGGGCCTTCCTGCCCCCCACCTCCGCACCTTACTCTTTACTTGACCCCAGCCAGTTCAGCTCCAGCGCCATCCAGAAGATGACCGAGGTGCCCCACACCTTAGCTACCAGCACTCTGCCCTACGCCTCAACCTTGGGATACCAGAATGGGGCTTTTGGCACCTTGAGTTGCCCGAGCCAGCATACCCACACTCACCCGTCGCCAACCAACCCAGGCTACGTGGTGCCTTGTAACTGTACGGCTTGGTCTGCGTCCAGTTTGCAGCCTCCTGTTGCCTACATATTATTCCCGGGCATGACCAAGACTGGAATAGACCCCTATTCTTCAGCGCACGCTACAGCCATGTAACACCCAAACCAAACTCTCACTGGCAGTCCCACACATTGCAGGCGACTGGAATCTGTATGGGGCCAGCGAGACTGGCCAAAGGAAGAAATCGGAAACCGATGTTGTGCATGTACCATACCGTACTCCAGAAACAAACAATCCGCCTAACCGAAAGCCACTTGGGCGTGGAAAGATGCCCTGGGGAAATCTCTTCCACCTGGGCAAAGACTATGAGACTCTTCGGGTGGGCTGGTGGGGGGACACCAAGACCTTAGAATCCAAAATCCAAAAAAACTCACAGTCTTACAGAAAACTTTCTTTCCTTGCTTTCTGCACTTGGGGCTCAGATTGGCCCAAAACTTGTACAACTTGTAAATGTGTCAAACTTTTAACTGCCCTTTTGGCTAAAGGTCAACAACAAACCTTTTGATTTTTTTTTAATTTATTAATGTTAATGAGTTTGTATGATTGAATGTTATTTGGACTTTAATTTTTAAAACCCCAGAACTGTTCTAACCTAATGATACCCTACCTTTTTTTCCTTTGCACATTAAAATCAAGACTTAGCTGTGTTATATATATATATATATATTCTATATATCTATATTTTATCATCCAGCACTAATAGATAACATTGCTTTTCATGTCAGAAAGATTAAAATAACACAACAGCTCTTTAGAGTTATTAAAGGGGGGTTAAAAGTTTTATATTTCAAACATGATATGATAGTATTTGTTTAATTTTAAACAGATAGTCTTTCAATTTGTGTGAATAAGTGCAAGTAGGCCTAAGTTTACTTTAGACAGAATGTCAGCTATGATGTCAGACTGTAGTTTTTTTCTTTTTTAAATAAAAAGAGAATAAAAATAATTTTTAAAAAAGAGTAACATGGTGATAAACTAATATGGATTAAAGTGTATTGGGGAGACAATGTATCCAAAAGGATTTTACCTCGTCAGTTCTGTTCATTTGTTGAACAAAAAACAAAAAAAAAAAGGCATTTTGAATAAAGACAATCTGTCGTGCAACCGGTCAACTATGTTGTGTGAATCCCATTCCAGTTCTTATGATCTTTCATATAAAAGCTTTATGGACTGCAAGAAAGTCGAAAACTTAAAGGTTTCCTTTGACTTGCCAAGGTCTTGGGCTTTACATCCTGCACAACAGTAGCTCTACAGAAAAGTAAGGAAATGTCAAGAACCTAAAACAGGATTGGAGAGTTTTGAAATCTGGGCATAATCCACTGGCAAGTTCTCCTGCACAGTTATACTGAGTTGAGCTAGCTGGTGCCTGAATCAATGTCAGTGACAGAGAACCTCTGGGTGAATTCTGCTCACCTTCTTAAAATCTGTTTCCTATGGCATGTGTGCTGTGCAGAGCATGCACATATATTTGTATGAATACATACATACACTTTTGTGGCCAATTATTTCTAAGGTTACCTTCGTTCTTCTTCACCGTCTTTTCCTGTATTACAGAAGGGGGAATAGAAGATGAGCCAGAAAGTGTGACTCACTTAGTCCAAGTCTCTAATTCATTCCTTGATATGAGCCCCTTGAGTATATATTTTCAGTATTGCATGATCCAGGAAATGTCAGATGAGTCCTTCATCTCCACATTTTGTGATCTGTCATACAGGAATTGCGCCAAAACACATTCCCTAGGAGAAAGTGGGACTTATTTCTGTGTAATTGTGCATAGATTTATGTACTGGGAACCCCAAATATCTTAAGTATATGCACATTCTCTCCCCCATCCTCAAATCTATCTGATTATGTGCAGATTTTATTCTAAAGTAAGTATGCCCAAAACTGAAGCACATTTTTGTGCCAAAGGGGTATTAGTCCCAGTAAAACTGATTTACAAGAGGCCAAATCTACTTTAAAAGCCTGAGAGTTATCTTTAATCAGAGGTAAGTCCCATTAAATTCAGTGAGACTTACCCTTAGGTGCCTGTGTACAAAACTGATGACTTAGCAGAAATAGGGAAGGGGAGTAGAAAATCATTTACTATGATCCAAGATTCATTCATATTCTCCCCCCCCCCCCCCCCATGGAAAGATTATGTTCTTGAAATGTTTCCAGCACATCAGAAAGTAAAATAAATAATGCATGTTTTTTAAAAAAGATAAAGGATACAATATTCCTGAGTCAAACTTGATTCTTGGGGACTTCATGAATCTATCCATGTACAATAGTTTTCTTGTGGCAATATTACCGTGGCCTTTTTTTTGGGGGGGGGGGCGGGGGAAGTGTTGATTTTCTAACTTCCCACTCTGGCCTAGAGCCCTAAAATTCCTTGTGGTCCCCTTTCTAAGAACTAGCTCAATTGTTTCTGCTTAGTTGTATAGTCCTTACTTGCCAGCCAAGTGCTGACACCAGCATTTTTGTATTTGTTCACAAACTGAAACAGCTGTCCATGTGGGAAAAACTAAAGGTTTCTTGGAAAGTAGAGATTGCTGAAAAAGAGGCGAAGTTAGAGGTGGATTTGGTGGCACGATAAGGGTCACTTTAGCTACAGCTCTGCAGGATGGGAACACTGTGGATGTGCAAAATACCTTTTTGATGTCACATTTCTCTGGATTAGATGCATATTTAAGGGTTTCCAAGGAAGATCATAGGTAATTTTGTTTAATTGAAAGTATCTATCAGGGAAGCAGCAGTTTTTGTGTGTGTGTGTGTGTGCTTTAGTTATTTTGTTTGGGTCTGCAGCCTTAATTTCTCTCAGTCATGGTTTCCAGTCAATGTGGACTATCTTTCTCTAATCCAATATAGGCCTGTAGGAAGGTGGTTGGTTGACAGCCTTTGCAACCATGGCTAATGGGAAATATAGCCCAAGTCTCATACTGAGAAAGCTGGTTGAGACCTTGGGGAACCTCGGTTTAGTGACTTTCCTTGCCCTTTTGCAAACTCTTCTTTTCCTCTTGTCTCAAGTCACAATCCTGCTTTACAACAGCCTTCTTCTTGCCCCCCTCCCTCCCTGTTTCAGTTGAGGTTTTCCCAAAATCCCAAAGAGGAGGACGGGGAGGGGGAATCTCTGACAGAGTCGGAAGAAAACTGGAGCTGGACAGATTAGCATCTTGTCCCAAACAATTAGCGGTGTTTGGCGCTTCTATTCATCAGGTCTCTCTCCTTTTATTACCGAAAGGGTTTTCATTAAAAGGGGGGAAAGGGGGAGGAAGAGCGAAGAGAGAGGGTCGCAGTTGTCCATCTGGCTGAGTTGAATAGCGAGGGTGATCCGTGTTGTAGATGTTTTTCTCATTAAGTGCTCTTTTGAGACCGCGGTTAGAATTAAATGGCACAACACAATTAACATACACGGAACCTGAATGGCAGGGTAAGCGGTATAAAGAATAGACAGATAAATAACTGAGGGATCGGGGCGAACGTAAACAAAAGAACCGAAGAGGGAGGCTTTGAAAAGCGAGGTTAGAATGGCTGGACCACGCTTGTTTAGCATGACAAAAAAAAAAAAAGAAGAAGAAGAAGAAGAAGGAGAAGAGGAAGCAGGAGCCCGCTTACAAACGGGCGCAATTAAGATCTGGCGCGACCTCTGCGGAGGAAGGGACGAGGTCGGAGGAAACGCCGAACCAGGATGGTGGGACACTCCGACGTTGACACGCGGCCAGGGAGACCAAGGGAAGCTGCCAGGCGAGCCGGTTGGGCTGGCGGGCGGGCTGCCTGATTTAACCCCAGTTGACAGTAGCTGTCAGGACCCGTGATAACGTTCATAGCTCAGTGTCCTTTAACATCTGTCGAGATTAGGTTTAAGGCGAAGCCTCGAGGGAGGCGGCTGACGGCCGTTCGAGGTCTTCTCCAACTCCGCAGATCGGGGATGGAGAGTCCCAAGGGCGGAGCAGTAAAGGGGGCGCTTCCTAAAAGCCCCGGGGAGACTCCCCCACCTGCCCGCCCCTCCTCCCAAGGGGCCGGTCGGTCTTCGCTTCTCTCCGCCTCAGTTTTAGCCGGGCCTCTGCTTTTCCTCCTGGCCCATTCCACGGGCAGCCCGATTCTTCTGGGCCAAGCGGGGATGGTTCCCCCTTTTCTTGCGGGCAATTCCTTGAAACGCGTTTGGCCACCAAGCAGCTTTTCTTCAATCCGGCCAGTTAATTCTCTGTGCATTTAACGATCCGCGAGGCAGGGTTCACCTTACCTAGCCGTTTGCTGTAATTTGCTGGAGGGAACGTCCCGCCAAAGAGGTAGAGGGGGGAAGGGAGGTGCTGCTTTACGGAGCCATTTCTGCCTGAGGAAAAACATGCAGGATTGTTTAGCTACACGGCATTCTTCGCGAGGAATTACGAAAAAGCAACCGATTCTCAACACTAACAATGTCTCTATAATGGCGTTTATTGCTTATTTAATACCAAAAGATAGACGGTCCAGACGATTTTGTTGAAGAGCGTCCCCAAAAATCCTTTATGCTTCGGAAGCCGGCACTTTCAAAGTGCTAAAAATGTGCAGAGGAATTACTTCCTTTATAGTTGATTTTAAAAAAAATAGAAAGTTGGTATTAAAAGAGCTTCAATATGTTTTTACTGCCCACCTCAGCGTCTCTCCTTCTGCCCCCACCATTTTTTTTTCATTTCTTCCCAAGTTCCGTCTTCCAATAGGATTCTTCGTTTGCAGGTGTGCAGCTATTTTTATGCATGCAGATGTCTCTCTGTGTGTACACCTACACGTTTGCTTTGACACTGAAATGAACAGATTACTGACTTTGATGTCAAAAGATCAGAAGGGGGGAGGGGGAGAGAGAAGGAGGTGAGAGAGTGAAAGAAGATATTAACTAAATAGGCAGGAAAGAGTGAAGTCAAGAGGGTCCCTGTCAAACCTGTTTATCCACAACTGTCTCCTTTCCCCCCATAAAAAATCATTAAACAAAAGACCGGGTTAGGAGGAGGACCACACCTGTCAGAGAAGGGGCACCCTAAAAACCAGCCCTTTCTTTGCTTGCTCTCTTTTTCTCCCTCCCTCTTTTATTCTTAGGTGTTGGGTGTTGGGCTATCTAGGAGGGGGAGATCATCTTC